GGAAACAACCGCAGTCGAGAGTTATATAACAATACCTGCTGTCCCTGCTCAAATTCTTTTGGCTGAATTTTCTTGTCATGCCATTTCTTTGTTTTCTTTTTGTAGATCCTGGCATTCTCATAAGCTGCTAACCTGAACTCATCTAACTCATTTAATTGTAGCAGTCTCTTATTATTAGCTTTTGATGGTTCAAAATTTAAAAATTTAATAGCCCACAAAGCTCTATGCTCTAATTCTACAGGCAGATGACAAGACTTACCATACACCAGTTGGAATGGTGACATACCTATTGGTGTTTTGAATGCTGTCCTGTATGCCTAGAGTGCATCATCCAGTTTCTTAGCCCTGTCCTTCCTTGAGTTGCCCACTGTTTTCTCTAGAATCCTCTTCAACTCTCTATTGGAGATTTCAACTTGTCCGCTGGTCTGAGGATTGTGTACCACCATCACTGATGATCGCACGAGGAACTCCAAAGCGGGTAAAATTGTTCTTTCGCAGGAAATTGACCACGACTTTGGCATCATTTGTGGGCAAAGCAACCGCTTCTACCCACTTGGACACATAGTCCACAGCAACCAGGATGTATTGGTTGGAATATGATGTAGGGAATGGTCCCATAAAATCAATCCCCTAAACATCAAATAATTCTACCTCTAGTATGTAGTTGAGGGGCATCTCATCTTTGCGGGATATGTTTCCCGTCCTCTGGCACTTATCACATTGCTCTACAAAGTCTCGTGCATCCTTGAAAATTGTGGGCCAATAATACCCACTTTGTAACACCTTCTGTGCAGTTCTGTTGCCTCCAAAGTGTCCTCCATAGTCAGATGCATGACAATGCCACAAAATATCCGACATCTCGAATTCAGCTACACACCTGCGAATAACACCATCAGCACATTGAAAATAGAGAAAAGGGTTATCCCAGTGGTACCTCCTTGTATCATGAAGGAATTTCTTCTTCTGCTGCCACGTTGGATCTTCAGGCATTAAACCAGCAGCTTTGTAATTTGCAAAGTTTGCAAACCATGGATGCATAAGTACTGCCATCACTTGCTCATCAGGAAAAGATTCATTGACCTCAATTTCAGGTCCTTCTTGTAAGTTCTTATCTTGAATCCTAGACAAGTGATCTGCAACTTTATTCTCCACTCCCGCTTTGTCTTTGATTTCCAAATCAAACTCTTGAAACAAGAGCATCCATCGTAGCAACCGCGGCTTTGCATCCTGCTTGGTCATCAAATACTTAAGAGCAGCATGGTCAGTAAATACAATAACTTTAGAACCTATCAAATAAGATCTAAATTTATCTAAAGCATAAACTACTGCTAGCATCTCTTTTTCAGTAGTGGCATAGTTGAACTGTGCCTCATTAAAGACCTTGCTAGCATAGTAAATAACATGCAACAACTTGTTCTTACGCTGACCCAATACTGCACCCATTGCGTATGCGCTCGCATCACACATAAGTTCAAAAGGAAGACTCCAATCTGGTGCCGTCAAAACAGGCGCCGTGGTAAGCTTTTCCTTCAACACATTGAATGCATTGAGGCAAGCTTCGTCAAAAAGGAACTCATTTTCCTTCATCAGCAGCTGGCTAAGAGGCTTGGCAATTTTCGAAAAATCCTTGATGAATCTCCGATAAAAACCTGCATGGCCTAAGAAACTTCGCACACCATTAGCATTAACGGGAGGGGGAAGTTTTTCAATCAACATCAACTTAGCCTTATCAACCTCAATGCCTCTTGAAGAAATTTTATGGCCTAACACTATACCATCTCGCACCATAAAATGACACTTTTCCCAATTTAAAACCAAACTAGTTTCTTGACATCTTTTCAGAACCTTAGCTAAGTTAACTAAGCATGAATCAAAGCAAGAACCAAAAACAGAAAAATCATCCATAAATACCTCTAAACATTTTTCTACCATATCAGAGAAGATAGAAAGCATACACCTTTGAAATGTTGCAGGTGCATTGCAGAGGCCGAATGGCATTCTTCTGTAAGCAAAAACTCCGAATGGGCATGTGAAAGCAGTTTTCTCTTGATCCTCTGGTGCCACTGGAATTTGATTGTAGCCGGAATAACCATCTAAGAAGCAATAAAAATCATGCCCGGCTAACCTCTCTAGCATTTGGTCAATGAAAGGAAGAGGAAAATGATCCTTCCTTGTAGCATCGTTCAGTCTCCTGTAGTCTACACACATCCTCCACCCAGTAATGGTTCTGGTGGGGATTAACTCATTCTGCTCATTTTTCACAACAATTACTTCTCCTTTCTTTGGAACTGTCTGTACTGGACTCACCCATGCAGTGTCAGAAATTGGGTAAATCATCCCAGCATCCATGAGCTTCATCACTTCCTTGCGGACTACTTCCTTCATGGTGGGGTTTAGTCTCCTCTGAGGCTGTCTCACTGGTTTGACATTATCTTCCATGAGAATCTTGTGAGTACAAAAAGAAGGGTTGATGCCCTTCAAGTCAGAAAAAGACCACCCAATGGCTTTCTTGTGCCTTTTGAGCACTTCTAGCAACTTATCCTCTTCATCTGTAGACAAAGCTTTATTTATGATGACAGGGTATTGCTCTTCATCTCCCAAGAAAGCGTATTTCAGAGTCTCTGGTAACTCCTTCAATTCTGTTTTAGGTGCCAAAGGAACTGAGTCATTTTCGTTCTTTTCTAGCACTTCAAACACAACATCTCGCTCTTCTGTTGGAGTGGCTTCATCTTGAGATTGTAACTCTTCTCTAAGCTCTTGATCATCAAGATCTTCTTCTTCAAGCTCTTCTTCACACACTTCAAGTCTGAAGCAATCATTCTGATCAGCTGAGTTTTTCATAGCATCAAAAACATTGATGGTGATTTTCTCATCGTTCATCCTCAGCTCGAGCTTCCCTTGCTCGACATCAATCATGGCCCGAGCTGTGGCTAAGAATGGTCTTCCTAATAGAAGGGGTATTTCACTTTCTTCCTCCATGTCTAGCACAATAAAATCAGCAGGGAAGATGAACTTGTCAACTTTAACAAGAACATCTTCTATGATTCCATTAGGTCTCCTCAAAGAACGGTCAGCAAGCTGTAGAGAGACCATAGTGGGCTTCAACTCAGAAATTCTCAATGATTTGCAGATTGACAATGGCATCAGATTGATGCTTGCTCCAAGATCGCATAGTGCTCGGCTAACATTGGTGTTGCCTATCGCAATCGGGATATTGAAACTCCCAGGATCGCGAAGCTTTGGTGGAAACTTCTTCTGTATAATGGCACTGCACTCCTCAGTGAGTGCTACTGTCTCACATTCCTGCAACTTATGCTTTCTAGACAATAAATCTTTCATAAATTTAGCATAATTAGGCATGTTAGCTAAAGCTTCAGCAAAAGGAATATTTACTTGCAACTTTTTAAACATATCTAAAAACCTGGCATATTGTTGCTTCTGTGCTTGTTGCTTGAGCTTCATAGGATAAGGAGGTTTCTCAAAACGAGAGAAATCCATTGGTTGCTTCAGAGCTTCAACAACTTTCTCTTTTTCCCCCCTTTGTCCTGCCTTGCAGGTTCTTCTTTCTCAGTTGCAAGCGTGTCTACCTCCTTTTCTTGTTCTGGCTCGATCACTGGTTTATCAACCTTCACTTTCTGAACCCCTTTTTGCTTGTCTTGAGGAGTGATCACAATTCCACTCCTGGTTACAATAGATTTGCAGTCTTCCTTAGGATTCACAATAGTATCTCCAGGAAACTGCCCTTGAGTTCTTTCAGCCAACTGCCTAGACAACTGGCCTATCTGACTCTCCAAGTTCCGGATGGAAGCATCCTGGTTCTTATGGTAGGCTCTTGTCTCATTAATGTGATCATTAGTTGTCTTGGACAGTTGTATCATTTCTTTCTCCAACTCAGATGGCTCTTTTTGTGGCAGAGGAGGAGGTTGCAGATAGTTGTTGGATTTATAATCCAAGCCACTCCCTTGGTTCCTCCTTTGAAAGTTATTCCCTTGACCGCCATTCTGATTCCTTGGGTAACCTTGAGTATTCTGGGGAGGCCGTGGATCATACCAAATTCCATTGACCTGGAATGGTTCAGCTTTATTAAGTGTAGGGCACTCATTAGTGTCATGCGGCTCCTTGCAATACTCACAGTTAAATATATCAACCTTGGATGTTGAGAGCTGCATCTTGTCCAGCTTGGCATTCAAATTGGCCAATTGCTGGGAAATCACTTTGTGCTCAGCTAGTGATGCATCATTATTCCCCAATTGTAAAATTCCTTTCTTGGGCTGAACAGATGAGAATGTTGCTGCCATAGACGCATTCTCATTCCTTGCCATTAAATCCAGCAGCTTTAAGGTCTCATCTGCTGTCTTCTTTCCTATGGTGCCACCAGCTGCACCATTGACAATCATTCTGCATTCTGGCGTCATCCCATTATAGAAGACTCTGACTTTCTTTGTATCTGGCAAGTCATATTGTGGACACTTTCTGATCAACTCCTGGTATCGAGTCCAGGCTGCACATAAAGTTTCTCCTGGTTGTTGGGTAAAATTGGTGATTTCATTCACCAACTTATTGTACTTTTCCATGGAAAAGTGTTCAGCAAAAAATTTAGCCGCAAAATCCTCCCATGTTCTGATGTTGTTGGGAGCTTGTCAATTCAACCATTTGAGAGCTCTCCCGGTCAATGCAAACGGGAACAATCGGAGTCTGATCTCATCGTCTGACACTCCGTTGTGTTTAGTTGTATCACAGATCCTTAAAAATCTGTCTATGAAGTCATGAGGATCTTCATAGTCCTCTCCACCAAACTGAGTTTTCTCCACCAAGGTGATGAGTGCTGGCTGGATGTCATAATTATTAGCAGCAATCGGTGGTTTGACAATACTCGAGTTTGGCCTTGTGAATTGAGGAGCCAAAACTGATTCCATCAGCTCAGCTGCTGGTGGATTTTCTTCTGCCATCTCTGTTTCTACTTCAAAGTGTGAAGTAGAATTTTCTGCTTCAGAATGTGAAGTAGAAGCCTCTGCTTGCCTCTTCTGCTTGGTATGTTGTCTTATCCTCTTTGCAGTCCTTTCTATCTCTGGATCGTAAATCAAAGTTGCAGGATCAACTGTACCACGCATAAACTAAAGCAAACAGATTAGTAACACAAAGATCCAAGCAAGAAAATCAAAAGTTATAAATAACTTGGCGTAGTCAATCCCCGGCAACGGCGCCAAAAACTTGATGCGTAAAATCGGCAAGTGAACCGATCGTACCAAGTAATAAAGAGTGAGTAGAGTATCGTCTCCACGAGGATTGAGGCACCTAAGTTGTTATAACTATTCCTCTCTTGTTGGATTAATCAAAATAGGTTGAGAACAATTATGGTTTATAAAATAAACTAAAACAATTAAAGGAAAAAAAAATGTAAATGATTCCAAAAGTGCTTTCAGAATGCACGAACAAAAGATTAAGGATGGAGAAAATATTTGAGAAAATATTACGGTAAAGAGAAACAAACATCTTTCCGATCCCCACCTTGCAACTTGGATTACGTTTACATTTACCTATTCAATTGATCGAACAATTCATCATCTTTTATATAAGTAGTTAAGCCCTAATCCCTAAGTGATCTTAACCTAGTCAACTCTATTAGAATCCTAATCCCTTAGAAATCCCTTTTCGAGTTAACCCTTAGAATCAATGAACCTTTAACGTTCGCTGTTCATGTAGCCTATCCCTAGTGCGTACATGAACAGTTATCTTATTCTTTGTCAGGAATTAGAATTCCAACATCCCTATTGAAAACCCTAACCCTCGCAATCCTACTAGATTGATCAGTTCCAATAGAATTATAAAATGAAGAACAGGAAAAGATAAACTCAATTAAAATAGATAAACATAAATTTCAACCAAGGTACAAGGGGTTCACATCAAGGGTTGTGACCCTTACCACAATGATAAAACTAGCCAGACATATTCATGTCTGACAAAATAACAATAAAATAACGTAGCATTTAAAACCTAGAAGAGAGAGGGAAGATGAAGATCTTCCGTCTTGATCGATCGAATCCTTGAATCTCTGAGAAGCTCCAAGGAATCTCCACTTTCTTTGTTGTTTTTCTCCTCTTGATTGTTAAAAACTCCTTTTCCCTTTGTTTCTGATCCTTTTATTAGGTTTTGGGAAAACCTATTTTCACTTGCACTCCCATTGGGCCTTATTTTAGCTGATTCGCACTTAAAAATATATCGCCCACGCACGGGGCGCCAAGCCTGGCGCCCCAAACTTGGGAGAAACAGAAGCTGAATCTGTCAAAGGCGCCCCGGGCGCCAACTCTGGAGTGCCGTGCGCCAGTCCCGCGCTCCGTGCACCAACTCCCACGCGCTGGGCGCCAGGTTGGAGCATCGTGCGCCACCTACCGCGCTCCGTGCGCGACCGAAACAGAAGCAAATCGTCGCTAAGGCGCCTCGTGCGCCATGTATCGCGCCCCGTGCGCCAGTTTGGAGCTCCGTGCGCCAACCTCCGAGCGTCGTGCGCCAGCGGGAAATTTGGTTTCTCCGTTTTTGCTCTTTTTTGCGGTATTTCCTGCTATTTAAACATATAACTTGAGTGAGAACATGATTGAAAAAGAATAATCAATATTTCTTGCATTTAATGACTATTTTCACTCATTTATGATTAATTCCTTGCTTCTTTCAAGTTAGAAAACATCATATGCTAGACGCACATTAAATATCTCACTTGTATTGTTACAAAATTTTTAAAAAGGGTTTAGTGCATGTCATTCAAAAGGACACAATATGTGTCCTAGCCTTTTAGTGATTTACGCAGAGTACGACCGGTCGTACTCTGTGTAATCCTGAAAAGTTACTCTCTTTTTTTCACTTTACACGTCAGCGATGTGACTGAGGAGAGAGTCATACTTTGTGTAAAATACCTAAAATAACACAAGCTTGTGTCATTAAAAGGATACTTATTTTTCCCTTTTAAAAATAACTAAAAGGTTGAGATTCAAAGTATCTATTTTGTAATGGGTACAAATACCGCAACCATTTTGACGTATATATCAATACTTCTAAGTCTTTGTATGACTATCATGATTCAAAGTTAACTCTTTCAACATGGTTTTGATTTACATGTACCCTGCGCTTCAAATGATCCATATGCTTTACTAAGCAAATACTTGAATATGACTTGTCATCGTAATCTTGCTTAGCATGACGCAACATATGCAACTGATATTCCCTTGAATTCGTTGTTCAATTGTACAAACAAGTTATTTTTTCTTGTTGAAATTTTTTATATAAGTTAATAGTACATAGAACATGAAACATAGAACGATTGAAGAGACCTTTGCTCCTCAAGATTTGAAACAGGAAGGACTTTAACAATTAATGACTTAAAGTAGCCTAATTAATTTGACACCTAATTACAACAATTGTTGAGCAATGGTTACAACATCAACAATTGAGTTTAGTTTGTCTTAAGAAAGTGAAAAGGACAATTAATAAAGTCTCCAAATCACAATATTTACTCGGATAAGATACCATTCTATCTATAGGAGTTGGAGGGTTGGATATTAATTCACATACAAGGGCGTTTACACAGTGTTAGCTTTCATGGTTTAAACAGCTTAATTCACCAAATGGAGTCCAAATTGAATGGTTGCTCCTGTTGCTGTTGTTGTGGCATACATTCTAAAACTTTTGAAGAATCAGCACTGAGATTTGAACTTAGGTGATCATTTCCAACGTGGGAAACTACTCCTTGAGGCATAAATGATGCTAAATGATCTGTAGCTGCAGCTTCTCTTTGTTGGTAACTCCTAAGTTGTAATGCCTTGAGAAGCAAAGAATTCACAGAAATATTTGGATTCAACAACCCAGAAGGCCATGGGAGAGATGGAAGAGAAGGAACCTCACTTGCAACTGGCCAATTCATTGCCAAGTTCATATTTGTGTTAACATTATTGTAAGTTTGTCCTGAAATGTTAGTTAGTCCACATGATGAATTTGCAATGTTGTTTAGATTTGGCAGCTCAACATCACCAAATTCATTGACCATTGAGGTTGTGTCACATGGGGACTCTGGTTGGGAGGATGATGTTTGTTGTGGTTTTTTTGCTGCTAAGCTCTTTTGAAAAACCCTACAAACCACCCATTCGTCCTATAAAAGCAAACAATATTACAAAAGTTAATTCACAACTAAGTATACTATGCTAATAACATTGAGATATGGTTAACTAATAATTAACTACTATAGTTAATCAATAATTAATCATCATAATTAATAAATTGTTATTATTATTATTTTATTTCTCTATTAATTTATCAGAAACCGATTAATCCAGTTCAAGTTACACCTATAAGGATAGAATTTTTTATTGTGGTCCAGGACCACCACGGTCCTTCCACTTAAAATTTGACACCTAGATTAAAATTTTTTTCTCTCTCCTCTCTCCTCAACTTTTTCTCTCTTTCTCTCACTTCAATCCCACCTTACATTTTTTGGTCCGGGGGGTGCACACTAACTCCGCTCTACAAGGAGATAGTTCTCCCAAGCCAATTTCTCATTTTATAGGGTTAGAACTCGATACCTCTTGACTAAGGGACAAAGTACTCTTTATCACTTAAAGTCTTCAAAGTAAATAATTCATATGTTAGAAGAGTATATGTGTGTAACTAAGAAAATATAATTTGTCAATTGTGATGCATGCCATATTTACTAACCTTTGAAGATCTAAAGTGATGCTTGTTTTCTAGTCTATACTCGTGCATGACCCAATTGCTTTTCTCACCACGTGGAGCTCTACCCTTATAGAAGACTAGGGTTTTCTTCATTCCTACCAAAACCCCAGCACGAAAAATTTCCTTGTCTTTCCCTGTGGTTTTCCAGTACCCTGATTCGGTGGCTCGGTTTGTTCGAAGTCCAGTTGGATACTTGCGGTCTCTCAAGTTGAAGAAATACCATTCCTTCTCCCCCATCGAGGCTTTACCTGTGTTACCACACAAACAAGCTAAGTAATCATCTTTATTCAATTTTTATTTATTTATTTAATTTTGTTCTCTAATAGATCAACTAGCAAGAATTTGTCAACAGTGTTAACATACCATATATATTTCTAATTTCTTATTTTGTTACTGATATATATTTTCATATTTGTTAGTATGGATATATATAAATATATATATAAGCACTAGGATATTATATTATAATTATGGAAAATATATTTTTCATTTTGTATGAGACATATTTGTCTCATGTACACATAAAAAGTGAATAAAACTTACTTGTTTTCTTTCTCTCTTTTCTTTTTAGTGAATTTTATCTATTTTTTGTGTGTGTTAAATAAGATAAAAATATCTTATACAACATAATTGGCATATTTCCCAAGCATGGATTATAAATCCCGCACCACGCAGCAAAAGTAGAATAAGTCAAACTATTATGTACGTATGGTACGAAGACTAAGTGAAAGAAAGAAAGATTTTTAGTTTTAAATTTTATTTTTTTGCTTGGTTGATACAACTGAAAAAGCTGTAAATGATCCATCGAATACTCAATAATGAATATACTAAGTCTTATGAATATACAAATCAATCAGGAAACATAACACATAGTTTTATATATACCTAATTATAGAGACAAAGAGAACGATTTTTTTTTTTTTTTGGGATTGCTCCACTGATTTTTTTTATAGAGACAAATTATTTTCAGCCTTAAGATCATTCTTTTTTTTTTAATTGCTCCACTGGTTTCTGGGGCTTCGCCCCGACTATGTCCAGTCCGACCCGGGTAAGTTACTTAGTATTGGCAGGTGAGTCTCTCAGTGAGGATTTTCTGCATCAATCCTCGCTGAGAGACTCACCTGTCAATACTAAGTAACTTACCCGGGTCGGACTGGACATAGTCGGGGCGAAGCCCCAGAAACCAGTGGAGCATTCAGAAAAAAAAAAGAGAGAAGGATCTTAAGGCTGAAAATAATTCGTTCAGTTTTTTTTCTTGAATTTCAGAATTTGTCTTTATGAATATATTCAATAAGTTGCAGTCCTTTCTTTGTATCAAAGAACATATGCACTTTCAAATTAATAATCAAACATGAGAACAAAATCAAAAAGTTTTTGAAACCAGGTAAATATATATACACATGTATGAGTAGAGATCGTGGTGAAAGAAGTCTCAAACTACCTGGGAGGTCCCAAGGTTCAGACTTGTTGAGATCAACAACTGCTATAGCTTTGGATATGAAGTCAGTATCAGACACTTTCCTTGAAAGATAATATGTGATAAGCTCTTCATCTGTAGGATGGAACCTGAAACCTGGAGGTAGATTTTCCTCCATTCCTATGAACCCAACTTGCAGCTTTTGATATCCCTTGAAGAAGTTTTCCAAAAAGTGAAGAGAGGGCACCACAAATATATATGAAGTATAGATGAGGGGTCCTCAAAACTATGCTCAATAACATCACCAAGATACGCTCTTAAAGTCCTCTCCACTTTATGGTTTTATAACTCACTCTTCATCAACAAGTATAATTCTGTAGATAATGTTCATATTTTGGTTATATACATACAGCTAAACATTTGACAAAGTCTATATGCAAAATATATATATATATGTATGAGGGTTAGATTTCCCAAATTGTCACCTGAGTTTTCGTATATTTACTAAACAAACCAAGAATACATGCGACATTGACTCTATCAATGTGGTGTGTTATGTGTCATATTCAATATTATAAAGATGTGAAAATATGATTTTGCGAAATTTATTATGGGAAGACTAGTTGCTATATTATTTGTGCACGAGGGGGTTGAGTCTAATTTGTTACACCATATTTGGGATATTAATTTCCAATTTTTCTATGATCATGTCCAACCACCTTCACCCATTTCTACCCACCCAAAAAAAAAAAAAACCCCTTCCACGCTAGCTAGTCCAATGGGAACATGGACTTATTGTAACTATATTCTCTTCAATTAATTTTTAATTATTAACACTTATCTGTTGTCTACACCTACATCGTCATCTCTCTTTCTCTCTCTCTCAAAATTCAAAGGAAAACACGTCTATAAATAAATAAATATCTATCCAAAAAATTAAATAAATAAATATCTACCAAAAAAATTAAATGAATAAATAAATTATATGATCTTTTAATTGAACTGATCAGATATGTTTACCACGGCCGCAGTTTAGTTTTTTTAATATATTTAATTAGTGAAGCAAGAAAACTGCCATATTGTATATTACATTTAGCAAACTCATAATATATATGGAGGAATTATATGCTTAACCAAAGCTTAAATATTACATATAACAATTGATGCACTCATGGTCAAAATCATGCATAACTAGTAGTGAAAGGAAGGATATAAAAATGTCGGCATTACCTAGGAGAAACTTTTATGTTCTTTTCATATAATACAACACTATTTTTTTTTTTTTTTTTTTGGTGTGTGCTGGTGACTAATGTTACTAAGTGGTTAAAACGGTGACCAACCCGAAAGACTGTATATAAATCTAAGGTAAGCCTTTCTGGTGGAATTAATTGCAAGTGTTAACTTCAATTAAAGTATCCTGAATGTCAATCCTAACAAGAACTTTGTGAGTCCTACGTACTGCATATTTCCTTCATATTCTAGAAGCACACTATCATGTATCTATACCTTCTGCGCAGTCTCACTCTGAAAGCTAACTCCCAACAATAATAGCCTTTTTAATTTGGCAATTGGGAACTGAATTATATATCACAAAGTCAGGAAAACAAAAAATTAAGAGCTTGTTTGATTGTATTTTTTTTTCTTACAACTATTTCGTAGAGTAATCAATAAATGGATATTTTTTTAAGTTAAAAATCAAAGTATAAAATAGAAATAATTGAAATATGTTCTCTAAATTTTATTCTAAAAGCTAAAAATCAGTTATAATTTTTAAAACTATTTTTACAAAAAAATAAAAAAAAAAAATCAGCAAACAGGTTTTTTATTTTTTTTATTCTAAAAATTAAAAAACTGTTTTGATAACAAAATTCAAACAAGCCCCAAATTAGGGTTGTCCTATTTGGCACATGTTTCCTGCCGGTAGCTCAAAGCTGAAACTAATCAGCACTTCATCTGTCCTTAATTTCGAATTTCCTCCTCTTCTTCTCAAATTTTTTTTTTTCTGTCATCTTCATCCAATTTTCCAAATACAATCCACTCTATAATATATTTTTGGCTGAGAATTCATCAAAAGTATCAGTTTAGATCATTTCATTAACCTAAGTGAACATATAACAACTCGATTTAGGTTATGCTTTTAAAACATACATAGTGCGGAATACTTGCTGTTTGTTTGAAACACTTGTCATTCTAATCTTCCATACTGCCAAAATCATGGTTGCTCCGGGTCTAAATAACGAATAAATCTTAGGTGCATCTGTTACACATAGTTCAGTGTATTCGATCAATGAGAGTATTACATATCAAAGGAGAGAGAAATAATTTGACAGAAAAAAGAGAATTTTGACTGATATGTAATATTTCCATTGCTGGAATACACTGAATCTTTGGTGCAACAGTAGTACCAAAGATTTATTCATAAATAACCATCTAAATCAAGGCATATTAATGTGAAACTTGGATATGATGATTCCAACAATTATGCAAATTTATATAGTGCGTTTGGGTAATGAATGCCGCAGATTGCAACATAATTGTAGAAGGTCACACTACAGTCAAGTTGCTGTTGGATCATGTTGGCCCATGATATATAGGCCCAATTTAAGATTTGACTCTTAGGTTGGGTTTGGTTAAAAAACCTTCATCCCAATTCAATTGGGTCTCTGTTCTTTAATTCACTCCATAGCAAAGGGAGCATATCTGAACATTAGGCCACTACTCCTATAAACAATGGTATAAGGGGGCCTTGGTTCTTACTGGTAAACTATTCCATACATTGGAAAAAGACAATGTCAATATAACTCAATTGTTTAGGTACCCAACTTTAACGCAAAATGATTTATTTAAGATCTTGATTGCTTTTTCTATCTTATGTGGTGTATGTGACATTAACAATAATTATCAAATAATAATAATAATAGCAATAATTACTAATACTATGGGGACAACATCTGTGCAATCTGCAATCTTAGTAGCCAAGTTGAAGACAAGGATCAATTAATAGGACTGCCAAAAGCACTACCAATTGACACAGACGACATTATCTTTTTTAAGGGGCTTTTTATTCCTTCGGTAGGTAAATATTACACTCAAAGCCTCCATTAAATAGAGAAAACTCTTCCCTGTTTTGGGCCATAAGCAAAACCTTTAACATATTTTAATTTTGGTAGACAAAAAGTTACGTTATTATACATGCATGCTGAATATAAATTAATTATTTGATCAAAAAATAATATTTATTCAACCTTTTTCTGAAATATATCATATCATTCTTTTTGTAAAGTGAAGTTCATATCTTCTTTTGAATATGTATTCTACTTATGCGTGTGGCTTAGTTTTTGGTCTCTTCCTTTTTGCTTTTGTTTCTGTACATCATTTCACATAGGTTCTTATGGGAAAAATAAAAAGGACCTTGGTGCAGACTTGGATTTTCTGTGTTACATACACAGTAAAAAAAAATAAAGGTCTTGTTTTAATACTATTTTTAAAAAACAGTTTTTTTGGTTTCTAGAATAATAAGAAAAAAAACTCCTCTTTTTTTTTTTTTTTTTGATAACATAAAAAAAAACTCCTTTCACAAGACCAGTTTTGTAAAAAAAAATTAAAAATTGTAATTACTTTTTATTTTTAGAATCAAAGACAACGGCTCTGTTTGATTATAGTTTTTAAAAACAGTTTTTTAGTTTTAAGAACAAAAAAACTCGTTTGGTAAGAGTTGTTTTGTAAAAAATGTTTTGAAAACTATAACTGTTTTATTGTTTTTAGAATCAAATTTAGAAAATATGTGTGTTTTATTGTTTTTAGAATCAAATTTAGAAAATATATCTGAGTTGTTTTTGTTTTCTGTTTTGGTTTTTAACTTTCAAAAAGAAAAAAAATATAGAAAACAACTGTTTCCATAACTATTTTGTAAAACAATTTTAAGAACAAAAAAACCAGAACACAATCAAACAGGCCCAACATATCTTAATTGTTTTTGTTTTGTATTTTAAATTTTAACTTTCAAAACAAAAAAATACACATAAAACACATATTTTCATAACTATTCTATAAAATAATTTTAAGAACAAAAAGAAATCAGAACACAATCAAAAAGACCGAAAATTTACTCACTTTTGATGAAAAGAATAGTAGAAATAATTCCCTTAGCTTTCTTTTTTTTTCCAGATAAAATGAAAACCGTATTGTCCAGACCAATTGCTAAAATACAGTTGAAAAAAAAAATAGCTTGCAAAAGTAAGTCAATGAACTAAAATCTCATTTCAGACCAATGGGGTTATTTAATTATGAAAGAAGGATGAGAAACACAGTTATGTGACTCAAATTTGGATGATCATATTTCAAAAAATAAAGAAGAAATCATCAATTATGTCTCTGACAACTCAAATCTCATTACTGAATTTTCAAAGTTGCTATTATACTTGGGAATGTCCTTCTATATTCTAACTAAGGCCAATGGATCTTGTTGTAAGAGAGAAGTCACAATTGTCCAATCTTATAAACTTTGAGGACTGCATGACAGATTTGCCCTTGCTGCTAATGGCTTACAATTGGGACTTGATGAGGGTAAAAAGTAAAAAGTAAAAACCATTTGAGGATATATTAGAAACTGTCAATAATTTTTGGTCTATGTTGACAGAGAAGGATAGATGTTATGTTAGTATGTTACAAAAGCAACCAAGCCCACTTTTTTTAAAGAGTTGCTTTGCTTAGTGGTGAAGTCCTTTGGAGAGCAACCACAAAGAAAATGCCATGTTCCAAAGAAGAAGCACTTGTTAGACTCTTCTACAATGCCTCAAGCTCTTTCCAGCTTCTCTTACTCTTCCTCTTCTCCTCAGCCATTTTTCTTTTCAAGTTCTTAAACTTCATAGGCAGCTACTCCATATTCCAAAGGTCTTGTTCTTCTCTTCTTTTGTTGTTCTTTCCCTCCCTCTCACTGATTGCCTCAAGCATCTAACTGACAAGTTTCTTTTTGTGTATGTTTCAGAGATCAGCACTATGATTATGTGTTTTCTGAGTATGATGAAGAAGAAGAAGAAGAAATTCAAGAAAGTTATTCTTATGTGGATTCTATTGAGAGAGATCATATAGTAGCAGACATCATTGGTGGTGGAGAAACTCTTGTGTTTCTGCACAAAAACGACCCTCAGAGGACTCATTCTTCTTCTGAAGAATTCATAAGCCTTATTGAAGACACAGAAGAAAACTATGCCTCAGAAACATTGTCTGTTCATAAGTCACCACTTGTTTCAGACTTTGAAAATGAAGTGGCAGAAGAAGCTGAAGTAGAATTTCCAACACAAGATGCTGATTCTGTTCCAAATTCTGTCCCAGTTGAAAGCAGGCCCACTTCTCCCATCACCCTTAACATACACAAAAGTGACTTGGTGGACAGTGACAAAATTTGTGACGGTATTTCACATCATTGTTAGATATATAGTTTGTTACATTATTCACATGCAGCACTTATAGTTCAACTCTTACTTATTCTACTTTCTGCAGAAGATCATGTTGATATTGGAATTATTAAAAATAAGAAGGTGCATGAGACAAACCTCACAAGAGATGAGAGATTCTTTGTTTATGCTCCTACCCATTTAGAGGCTAAGAAGTTGATTATTGAAGAAAAAAATGATGAAGAAATATATGGTGACTCATGCACTGTTGGGTCCACATCTAAGAGCTCCTCTGAATGGAGGAGCTCCATTAAGGATTCTGGTACTGAAGACCCTTTTTCTTCTTCATCAAGAAGAAGTTGCCCCAAGTGGGAATCATATACAGTTTTCCAAAAATATGATGAAGAAATGTCATTCCTAGATAGGATTAGTGCACAGAAACTTCAAGAAACTGGTAACACACCCCTTTTCTGATTCTTTGTCAATTATTGAAAAGTCTATACTATTGTGAAAGATTGATTTTGTTACATGTTATTAACAACTTAATTTTCAGAGTCTTTGAGATCCATCAAAGTTTCTCCAAGATCAATTTCAGAGCGTATTGTGTACAAGTTTTCAACTATGAATAAAAGACCAGGTGATATCCATCACAACCCATACAATGAACTAGAGGCTGCATATGTTGCACAAATTTGCATAACATGGGAAGCACTTAATTGGAACTACAAAAATTTTCAATCCAAACGAGCCTCACGCCATGATCTTGATGTGGGTTGTCCAGCCACCATCGCACAGAAATTCCAACAATTTCAAGTTTTGTTGCAGAGATACGTAGAGAATGAGCCTTATGAGCATGGAAGAAGGCCCGAGATCTATGCTAGAATGAGGCATTTGGCTCCAAAATTGCTCCTAGTGCCAGAATATCGAGGTATGATAATTACTTTTAATTAATCATCTCATTTAGAATAATTAAATTTCATGTCAAAAGTTATATGCTTAAGATCACACCCAAGTAATAATCCAACCTTAACTCAGCTTTGGTGTGCATGGCATAATCATAACTAGTAATACACTAAAAAAATGGAAAATTTCTCGTGACCAATGACATGATTGCTAGTTTGCTACATAGTTGCTAGTTTTAATTTGTATTCCAAAACTGCAAAATTGTAGGATAATATTGTGGTTTTACCTAGTAATTTAATTTTCTGCAATTTATATAAAATTTTATACTAAGAGGACGAATCTCTAGTAGCTATAAGTTATTTTTTAGTGACCGAGAAATCACATGTTCATTTCTGGAAAACAGTCTCTTTAAAAATATACAAGTCTAAAATTGTGTTGTCACATGGAGTTATTTTGTTTATTTCAAAAAAATTAGTAAAGGTAGGACTAGTATATTGGCAACTGCCCTATTGGTTAAGGTCAATGGCAAAACTCGTGTATAGCAATTGTTATGATTAAATATGACTGATTTTTTTGTATTCTTTTTTGTGTTAAAGAATCAGATGATGATCAGAGGGATGATGGTTTTCACTCTAAAATATCTTCATCTTCATTTCTTAAGATAATGGAAGATGGTATCAGAACATTCATGAGTTTCCTTAAGGCTGATAAAGAGAAAACATGTCAGGCCCTAGCAGCCTATTTTAGGAGAAATCAAAGAGGCTTGGTTGATCCAACACTACTCAGGCTTATAAAGAAAGTTAATCAAAAGGCAAGTTCCCAATTTTATATATTACTCTTGCTTAAGTGCTTTACACATCATGATTTCATATATTATATTTTGCTAACACATTTTTATGTCACCACTCTACCTAAATAATGTGCAGAAGAAGGTGAAAGTTAAAGATCTTCGCCGTTCAAGCAAATTGTGCTTGAGGAAGAGAAAGTTGACTATGGATAAAGAGATGGAGATTTTGATGGCACTCATAGATTTGAAAGTGGTGTCAAGGGTTTTGAGAATGAGGGACTTAAGTGAAGAACAGTTGCATTGGTGTGAAGAGAAGATGAGCAAAGTGAGAGTCATGGATCGGAAACTTGAAAGAGATTCCACTCCACTTTTTTTCCCTGCACATTGACCCACAACACTGATTATATATAATGCTTGATGACTGGATTATGAATGTGCATGAGACTGCACATAAGGAATATCCATAGAACACTTTTTTTTTTGTAAATATGTTTTAAAGAAAATGGAGTGACCCTACAGATCAAAGTAATACATGTGGGAGTGGCATGGATTTTAGAGCCTGAAATCCATGGAAAGATGAGTAAAGATGAATGGTTATGATATTGATTAATATTGAAAGTGAAAGACCAATGACAAAGCAAGGAATATGGAGATAGAGACAAGAATAGCTTTAGTTTGCTTTAGCTTTTTAATAAGGGTTTTATCTACAAGGATTTTTAGCTGAATCAAAAGAAGAATGAGCTAGAGTGAAACACATGCAGTTGAATAAAATTAGGCTCTTGTCAAAAAGTAGATCACATGATAAGGGAGTGGTAGGCTTAGTGCTTTTTTTCTTTTTTCTGGCTAATATAGGAAGGACCCCACTTAGTTTAGTGAAAAGAAAAAAATAAAAAATAAAGGAATGAATCAACCTTCAAAAGGAACATCTAGGACTTCTTGTAGGACTACCAACTTACCATGATAGCTTGTATTATTTCTTACTTTCAAAAAATTACTAATATTTATCTTTTCTTATGGGTTATTGCAATTTTATTTTATTTTTTTGAGTTGGAAGGCTAATTTCTACAAGTGGTTTTAGAAGATATAAAAGAGATATAATATAAAAATCTTTGATGAGTCTTCATTTCTCAGCTTAAATTTTTGAGATAAATTGATTCTTTACATATTATGAAAACTGACCTAACTAAATAGTCTTAAGTTTGATCTTCATTGCCTTCATTTTATTGATAAAAATAATAAATATTGTGCACTTTCTTAATATAAATAAACTGGACATGATACATCATTCATCTTTCAAATACAAAGGACTCTTGCGTGAAAAAATATATTGGATAGATATAATATAAAAATTATTCATCAACCTTTACCTCTGAACTTCAACTTTTTAATTGAATTGGTTGTTTATACATATATCCTTCTTTATAAAAAAAAAAAAAGATTAACAATTCGTTCTATATACGCCTACCCTTTTATTTTATGGCTTTTTAACAATTCTCAATGACTTACCTATCCATCAGACATGGGCTTCAGGGATTAGGACCCATCCTGAATGGTAAGGCATGGTGCTTCTGTGGGTTGGTTCCCCTTGTTTTCTAGGTCCACTACTTCACACACATCCCCAACCTACCCTTTCTTTCCTGTGTTCTTTGTTTCTTCCTTTCCTTTTTACCTTAAAAATTTGCGGTAACAAATAACAATTTGTGCCACCAAAGTTTTTTTCACAATTCATTCAAAAGTCAATAGTGTTTGTTAATAAACGTTGTGCTTATTATTCAACATTAAAAAATCTGATTTTTGTAAAAACTAAAAACTGTTTTTTTTCATGTATGACAATCTTATGATATAAAAATATTATGATGATTCAGTAGAAAATAAATTTTATCTTCCATATATATATATAAAAGTATATGAAGTTTATATTTTCTTTCTCTTTCTCTTCTCTTCACATGAGCCTTATGCTTTTTTATGTGTATGTAAGATAATTTTATTTTCTACAGTATGAGAAACATGAAACTCTAATATATTTCAAGGACTTTATGTAGGGTTAAGTGGATGTCATGTCACTTGATACAAAGTTTTGTTCGATCAAAAAATTATAACTATGTATTACGGATATTACATGGTTATAATATTAAAAAAAATTCTCTCTTTACGTCAACCATTAAATTTAATATTATAACTATGTACTACCTGTAATACATAATTAAAAAAATAATTTTAATATTATAATTATATATTACTTATAATATATAGTTAAAAATATATGACTGAAAAAAATCTTATATCCATGACAAACCATTTTCCCCTTTATGTAATAGGCCTGCGATATTTTTACAATGAGGAATGCTAACTCTTATGAAAAGAGGTGTTACGAATTAATTGGACAAATATGAGTGGATGAATTAAGTGAAGGGAGAGATTTAAAATTTGGCTGAATATGTAACGTGAGCGCCTGATTATAGAAAATATTGAATAATCCCACAATACTAAATAATCAATACATCTTTTGTTAAATAACGAATCCATTGGGAAAAAATTGTATCTACTGTTATTTTAGATAATTTTTCTAATGTTACTCGAAATGATATTATTTTGGATTGAAAAATTAAAAAATTAGAATAATAAAAATTATTATAAATCTGAAATAAATTAAAATTACAAACATCATGATTTTTGTCTCAAAACAACATCATTTCGATAAATATTAGATAAAATTATCTACAATAACTTTATTAAAAACAAACTGTCTATATTTATGATTAATGCCACTTGTGTCTATTTTTTCTACTTTTATCTACCATAAAGTACCGAAAATATGCTCACTAACTATGAACCCCACTTTCTTTGTACCGTGACAAGCTCTATTGCACCAACATCAACACGGGATATGAGATATGATATGACACGATACACTAATACGTTAATTTAAAAAAATATCAAATTTTGACACGTTAAGACACGTTTTGATATTAAATAATATTTTTAATATATATAATATATTATTTTTCATATATATAACAACCCATAATAAGTCATATAATCAATTAAATATTCAAATTAAGATAAAAAATCTTATGAATTATCAAAAAATTCTATAATATTTTTTTAAATATTTTTTTCTAATTTCTACCATCATAAAAAATTATTAATGATACGATATTAAACCCTACGGTGACCGCCCATAGGAGGGATAATGACCATTTTGTCACGCTTGGCCAAAATATTTATCTGACTGCCACGCCAACAGTAAATTTTCTCAGAATGCCACATGGCACAATTCGCTCCACTGTGCAGCGAAAAATGCTTGCAAATAATTCGCTACACAGTATAGCGAATTATGTCATGTCAGGCTGCACAGTCAGCAAAAATGACACGTGTCAAGCAGACATTAATTCGCTACAATGTGTAGCGAATTATGCTTGGATTACTGTCTGCTTGACACGTGTCATTACTGCTGACTGTGCAGCCTGACATGGCATAATTCGCTAGATTGTGTAACGAATTATTTGCAAGTATTTTTCGCTACACAGTGTAGCGAATTATGCCACGTGGTATTGTGAAAAAATTTACTGTTGACGTGACAGTCTGATAAATATTTTTGCCAGGCGTGGCAAAATGGTCACAGTTCCCCATAGGAAGCATAGCAACGACGAGTCTTATTCAAATGCTTCAGGTCTTCCGATTATCATTCTGGTTCTTAACAAAAAACACAGAATCCAATTCAATTCCTTAGGAAAAAAAGTCAACTCATGATCCTCTGAAATTTCAGTTCTTTGAAAGTGTAGTCTCTCATAAATTCAAAGAAGACTCACATTAGTCCCTCAAAAAGGACTAATATAGATACTTTTTTCTAAGAAATTAAAGTGAGTTCTGTATTTTTTGTTAAGGACCAGAAAAGTATTTACTCTTTATTAAATATTTTTTCTAAATAAATTATTATTGTTTTACAAAAATATCGTTTGACCGTCTCAGATATGATCAAATTCGTGTGTCAAAATATTTAATGTGTCCTAAAATATTAACCACTTGTCAATGTTATTTTTTTAAAAAAATGCCGTAGACAACACCACGTAATATGGATATGCATGAGACATTTCCGAATAATATTTTCGGACATTTTAGCATTTTTTTACATTTAATCCTCTATCTAAAGTACATTTAACCCCAGATATTATGTAGTGTGTTGTAATTAGATCCGGGGTCTTTTAGGGCCTATGACTTGACTTACGGTAGGTTAGATTTGTCTCAGTATGATTAATAAAATAGAATAAGTTTATGTCTTGAAAAAAAAATTAAAAATAGGCTATAAAACTAATTTTTAAGAGGTCGGATGCATAAATTTATAGACCAACCTATATTATATTTTTTATTTTACATAAATTAAATATTTTTAAATGACAAACTAATATTTTGTTAGTTATTTTTTAAATTCCTGATAAGCTTAGAAAGAATGATAGCTTAAATAAGTTAATAGGTCATCTTTTACTTTTTTTATAAAAACAAGAAAAAAAATACACTTGATTACACTTATAATTTAACCTGCATTAAGATAATATATCAAACCAAGTTAAAAAACTTTACATAAATTTGATCTAGCTAGACAAAAGCCTAACCCGAATTAACTTATTTATACACCTTATTGTAAAAGAAAATAGAAATCATGTCTATATATATATATATATATATATATATATATATATGGAAAAATATTTCTCAAGTAGCTTGAGATAAGTTTATCTCTGGCTACCCAAAACTACGTCGTTTTATTTATTTATTTTCTTATATTAATTGATTCACCTTTGAATGGTTATGATTCTTTTTTTTCTCTCTCTTCTTTTATCACCATTGATCTATATTTGTACGGTTATGATTTAGTAGCCAGAGATAAAATTATCTCAAACAGCCTGAGAAACGATAAGTCCATATATATATATATATAAAGAATAAATACAAATAAGTTAAAATTGGGACATCCCAACTTAGGCCCAATTTCAAATCATGTTATTGTCCAGCCTGTAGATTAAGTGGCGGTATATTTAAGAGCTTAGCCCAATGAAAAATGTTAATTCTTTGACATATTTTTAATACTTTAGATAAATTTTATTAATTATAAAATGGACTTAATTGGTTTTGTGAAATCAATTTCAAAATCACTAAGAAATGTAGAAGATTTTTTTTTGGAGACAGGAAGAAATATAGAAGATGATTATATTTACAACACTTTTTTCTTACAATCTTGTTTATATATTTCCAGAAATACGTGAATGAGTGTTTGTATTCTCCAGAATATATAGACAAGGTTATAAAGGTTGTAAGCACAATCTAACTTCAGAATATATTATTAAAATTTTACTGACCTCATTTTTTTCTTAGGTAATCAAATCCCAAACTAAACCCTTAAATTTATGTTATTAGTCTTCAAATTAGGTTTTCCATTCAAACTTTAAAATGATTTGTTATCTATCTTGTTGAAATTTAGTAACTACGATTGAGTCAAAGCGCAAATAGCTCCAATCAAATTATTGATTCAAGATTCATATATTAATTAGACTATTAAAGCATGCATGTTTGTCTCTCCAAATCTTCTTGTGCACACAATCTGAAATTGACTTCTTCTTTTCAAAAATAATTATGAACTTCAAACAACATTTCAAAGAACATAATCTAATATTTAACTAATTAGATTGTCACAAGATACATGCTTCCCTCATTTCTTTTTTTCTTTTGTTAATACATACCAATCCTCACTCATTTCCAATATACTATATAATTGTCAATTATTAAAAAAAAAAAAATCAGAGAATCGTTATTTTAGTCATTGTTGTAAGACGTATGCCATAATTCCATAAATAAATAT